TGCGAATTAAAAACCCCCCCCCCCCCCCCCGTGTCAGGTGATAAAACATTCACGCTGGATCGAGGATCTCCTGCGTCGCGTCACGCGATAATTTACCTGACACGGCGCACCGCAATGCAGTGCAAGTCACGGAGTCGTGTTGCCTTAATGGGCGACGTGCAGGTGCGCCCGATGGGGTGCATCCCGTCACCTCTTTGCTTGCGCTCCCATTCACACTTGAGAGCAGTGGCGGCACAAGGAGGGGTGCTGGAGGGGTGTGGCCCGCACCCGGGTGACACCGTTGGAGGGGTGACACCAAAATGACTTACCGTCATTTTGGTGTCACCCCCTCGATAAAAAGTCGGGCGCTCGCTCATGGATGGAGGGCCTGACAGTGTCAGGAGAGAGGAGGGGACCCGGGAGGCATACCTCATCCCCCCAGGGTGAACGTTCCCTCCTCTCTCTCTGCCGGCGTCCATCACCAAGATGGCCGTCGGCAGGCGCCACGTAGATGACTGTGCCTGCGCGATGACGTCACGGCTTCCCGGGGGGGGCCCCCCGGGTCCCCCCCCCGGGTTTCCCCCGGCCTCAGGACGCCCCTGCTTGAGAGGTGAGCTCACCGGTCTGCTGCTTCTCCTTTCGCTGTCCAATCACAGGCTGGGGGAGGGACAAGACCTGAAAGTGTTACGGAACCGCAGCGGAGACGAATCAGGTCTCTTGCCCTGCCAGAGTGTGGCGGAGCTGTGTAGTTCTCAGGACTGGATGGAACGAAGTATAAATCCATTGGAAGCTATGTATGGCTCTTTGAGGGTGACTACGGAATGAATTGACTGGCTGGTCCCGAGTAGTAGCCGTGCAGGTGACGCACACGGGGGGCCCCTGAGGGCCCATGTCCGAATGTCAGGTTCCTCCGTGAATGGCGGGCTTCAATGTTCACCGAAGGACTCCGCTTATTCTAACCATTGTCTCTCTTTTTTTTTTTTTAAGGTGGGCCAAGGGAGGAGTGATCATCGAGGGGGCCAAGGAGAGCACGTACGAGACGCAGGTGGATTACACCTTTTTCACCGAGCCCGTCTCCTGCGAAGTGCACAACGAAGTTGGGAGTACCAACGTTAGCACGCTGGTGGACGTGCAGTGTGAGTTACGCCCTCGTCATTCATTCCGGCCGCCATTACGCATACTGTATTGGCATCCGTGTATACCAGATGCGTGGGAGTAGTGTGGAGAGTGGGGGTAGTGTGGAGAGTGGGAGTAGTGCGGAGAATGAGGATAGTGTGGAGAGTTGGGGTAGTGTGGAGAGTTGGGGTAGTGTGGAGAGTGAGAGTAGTGTGGAGAGTGGGAGTAGTGTGGAGAGTGGGGGTAGTGTGGAGAGTGGGGGTAGTGCGGAGAGTGGGGGTAGTGTGGAGAGTGGGGGTAGTGTGGAGAGTGGGAGTAGTGTGGAGAGTGGGGGTAGTGTGGAGAGTGGGGGTAGTGTGGAGAGTGGGGGTAGTGTGGAGAGTGGGGGTAGTGTGGAGAGTGGGGGTAGTGTGGAGAGTGGGGGTAGTGTGGAGAGTGGGAGTAGTGTGGAGAGTGGGGGTAGTGTGGAGAGTGGGAGTAGTGTGGAGAGTGGGAGTAGTGCGGAGAGTGGGAGTAGTGCGGAGAATGAGGATAGTGTGGAGAGTTGGGGTAGTGTGGAGAGTGGGAGTAGTGCGGAGAGTGGGGGTAGTGTGGAGAGTGGGGGTAGTGTGGAGAGTGGGGGTAGTGCGGACAATGGGGGTGATGATTACATCACCTTTTTTCCTTCTTGAAATAACAAAAACAAAGGTCCCTCGTTGGGGACACAATGGGGGTGACAAGACAAGAAGGAGATTAAAGAAGAGATGTATAAAGATGGTGATGGATGAGAGGGGACGGGGGGCACATCATGGTGATGGATGAGAGGGGAGGGGGGCACATCATGGTGATGGAGGAGGGGACGAGGGCACATCATGGTGATGGAGGAGGGGACGAGGGCACATCATGGTGATGGAGGAGGGGACGAGGGCACATCATGGTGATGGAGGAGGGGACGAGGGCACATCATGGTGATGGAGGAGGGGACGAGGGCACATCATGGTGATGGAGGAGGGGACGAGGGCACATCATGGTGATGGAGGAGGGGACGAGGGCACATCATGGTGATGGAGGAGGGGACGAGGGCACATCATGGTGATGGAGGAGGGGACGAGGGCACATCATGGTGATGGAGGAGGGGACGAGGGCACATCATGGTGATGGAGGAGGGGACGAGGGCACATCATGGTGATGGAGGAGGGGACGAGGGCACATCATGGTGATGGAGGAGGGGACGAGGGCACATCATGGTGATGGAGGAGGGGACGAGGGCACATCATGGTGATGGAGGAGGGGACGAGGGCACATCATGGTGATGGAGGAGGGGACGAGGGCACATCATGGTGATGGAGGAGGGGACGAGGGCACATCATGGTGATGGAGGAGGGGACGAGGGCACATCATGGTGATGGAGGAGGGGACGAGGGCACATCATGGTGATGGAGGAGGGGACGAGGGCACATCATGGTGATGGAGGAGGGGGGGATGGTGGGGTTTCACATCATGGTGATGGATGAGGGGACGGGGGCACATCATGGTGATGGAGGAGAAGGAACTCGCATCATTCGATAACAAAAACACACAAGAAGACGTGTCAGGGAAGACACAGCGAGCGCGTTGTAATTTCCGCGTCTTGCAGCCATTCCACATCAATCAGCCGCCGAGGCCGCACTCTGCGACAACACCGCCAGAACAATGCGTACATCACAACCAACACGGCCTCATTAGCATGACAATAATTATGTGACAGGAGAAAAATTGTTTCTCTTTATTTGTCACTTTGGAAA